AGCTCTTCACCTACCCAAAGCCAAGAGCAACAAGCGTGAAGAAGAGGCTGGAAGCTGAATGCGCCCTGAGCAGGGGACAGGCAGTGCTCTCCCTGGCTTGTGCCAGCAGGACCTGGCTCTCCAGGGTCATCCCGTTGGGTTTTCCATTGAACCCAGTGCTGCAGCAGCACAGCCACCGTCACCCGTTTGCAAAGAGCCAGGACATGGAGCAGCTGCTCCCTCCTTCCTGGCCTTCCTCCCTTGGGATACCTGTCCCTGGAGCGATCCCAGCCAGACAACAACAGCTCTGACACAGCTCCTGCTCTGAGACAGGGCAGCTCCCACTCGAGTAGCTGCTGTTCTCCCTAAGCAGAGGTTCCAATTCCATTTGTCAACCAAACAAGCACCTTCACGGCAGGCTCAGAAACACTCCCTGGAATCCCAGCCTCTACGTTCAAATCGACTGCAAATGATCACCATCAGGAGCTTCTGGGCTGAGAAAGAACAGGAGCTGCAGTTGTTATCTGGTTTTAATATCGGATGGCAAGAGCCTGGAGGGAAAAACCCACGTGCTTTATGGAAGTGCTCAGGATAAACAGCTCCTTCTTGGACCTTTCCCTCCAAGCTTTAGCGAAGAGCTTCGCAGGGTCGAGTTGTTTCTCCAACCTCTCAGAAAACTGCTATCTTCTGATCCAACCCTTAGAGTGCCTCAAAACCCAGCTCTGAAGAATCCTCCTACCAAGACAGCATTAGCTCAGGGTAACAGAAAAAGCCAAACAGGAACACAAACACCATCGACCACCTCAGCCCCCGGAACTCAGTGGTTGCCCTTCCCTCTCCCATTCGTCCCTGGGCAACTTATCTTCATCAGAACATTAAGTCAGTAGATTTTCGGGGGGATCAAAGTTTCACCCGGGCCAACAGGGGTGAATTCATGGGCTCCAAGCAGCGAGGGGCAGCTCAGGGCTGACCACACCACCTGCTCTTCACGCCGGTGCATGGCCCCGGCCGCTGCCACCCGCAGGGGAGCTGTGACGGGACCGGATCCAGCAGGGAATGGGGCATGGAGATGATGCCTCGGTTTATTCCGCCTTTAGTTCACAGCAGAACAAAGCCAACACTTGCTCCTTCAGTTTTCCTTGGCGAGCTGAGGATTTGGCAGGACACACGTCGCAGTTCAGTGCTTCAGGAACTATCCCTTCCCAGGAATCCCCTTTCCCTCAGCACCAGGTGACAACTCCGGTTCTGCACCAGCTGGGGGTATATTTGGCTTGAAGGGAAACCTCATCCCTTCACATTCGCTGTTAGTGGCACAGTCTCACCTCACTTCTTCTCTCCCCCCACCCTGTCTCTCTCTCCTTGAGCTCCCACTGGTTGAGTCCCTCCTTGGCCTGGGGTCGAGATGTGAGCCAGGTCCTTCTCTCCCGGCCTCATACGCTGCTGTCCTCGAGCAGGGGCTCTTTGCCATCCGACCCACCAGCCTGAGGGCTGTGAGTGTGGGTCTGGGCTCCGTTACTGTGCTTCTTGTGGCTGCCTGATCTCAGTGCAAGGTTGTGTTCTGGAATGAACAAGGCCACCAGGAGCGACAGCAGGACAGAACAAGCCCCGAACAGGAAAGGAGGCCCTGGGATGATGCTGCTCTGTAGGGAGAAGCAGAGGAATGGTTAATGCTCAAGCGCAAGGGAAAAGCGGCCTAAAAGGAAGGACAAAGGTGAACAGTTACCTCATCCGTAGGGTTGGCCATGTTGGGTTTGGAGGCCTTACCCAGGGTTTCCACCTCAGCCATTTCATTCAGCTCCACGTGGAAGAGATAGAAGACGAAGCCATAGAGCGCCGGCCCCAGGCCATTACACAGCCCCCGGATCCCAGTGATCATCCCCTGCACCACACCTGGGGACAGAGCAGGGAAAGGAAGATATTCCTCCAGCTGCTTGTCTGCCTCAGACAACATTCCCTCCCGAAGCAGCACCACCACCACCTAGAACAAGACACTCCACAGCTAGTCCCTGGTTCCTCCAGCACCAATTCCAACACGGTGGGTGCAGGCTCCCGCTGGGATGAACTCACCCCAGGACTTACCCTGTTGGTCAGGGTCCGCGTTCCGAGACACCATGGCACTGATGGCTGGGAAGGTGATGCTGGACATGGCAGCCACGGCTCCTGCAGCCCACATCATCCTGGGAGACAGAGGCAGTGGGTAGGAGGCAGGATCTGAGGCAGCAGCACGGCCTCACCCTCCAGGCAGGGCACAGGGAGCTGCCACAGAGCCAACTCTTACCAAGGCTGCGATCCGAAGCCGTACCAGGCAAGCTGGAGGATCTGGAAGCCTAGTCCCAGCAGGATGGTGTTCTTATTTCCTATGGAACGCATGAGAATTCCCAACACCACTGTCTGGAAAGAAAAACAGGTGCTTTGCGAGGAAGTGCAAAGAAGGAGGAGAGCACTGGAAGGCAAGAGGATGGGAATGTGAGGGAACACGTGCTGCTGTGACACCGACTCCTCCACTCCAGGAACACCATGTCAGAACCCAGCACATCCCATGGCACAGCCCAGCCTAAGGGACTTCCACTTCTCAGCAAGTTTGGATGTTCCTATAACCAGATTGCAAGAGCCAAGAGAGAAAGTGGTGCTCACCTGAGCCAGGATGGAGAGAATTCCAACCACGCCAATGAAGGCTGCCACAGTCTCCGAGGAAAAACCAATGACCTGGGAAAACACGAGATCTGGACTGTGTGGGAAGAGCCACCAGTGTTTGCTGACACTGCTTAGCAGGTACCTGAGCATCCAT